GCCAGTAAATGCGTCTGTTTCGTTTTCGATGCGTCACCCTGTATGTGGATACAACGGCATCTATGACACGCGGATAACCGGATAGGTTGCGTAGCATCAATGATCTAGTTTGACTGACTTGATACAAACCTATAAAGAGACAAAAATAGGTTTTTGTACCTAACAGCAGTGGCAGCAGGCTGTTAAGAATGTATTATTTTTTTACATTACCTCTCTCAGATTATTGTGTTAGGTGGCGCTTCTTGCTAACTTATTTCGACATCTCATCCCATCGCGGATAACTTTAGAACACAGGAATATAGTATTAAGTAGAATATGTTATTAACACTATGGTCATATAATTTTTGTGAAATTATGTATGCAGGACCGACATATTATAAGGGTTGTCCAATAGGGACGCAGGAAAGTAAACGTCAATTTGACATAGACGCCATCTTCGTTTTCTGCCACCGACATGTGATTTTGTTAGTTGAATGTTTACCATTCGGTCGCAACAACCGCCCAAACGAAACAACCATCGGTCGTCTGGTGCGTAAATTCGAGGCAACAGGTTCTGTGGCAAATCTGCCAGGCTCTGTTGCCTCGAATTGCTGTTGTGAAGGAGAGTGTGAGAGACGATCCGAAACAATCAACAACGCGTCGATCCCAAGAATTGGGCATTTCGAGAACCAGTTTGCTCCGCATTCTCCACAAGGATTTGAATGTACACGCCTACAAGATCCAATTGACGCAAGAGCTGCGTCGGGCCGACCATTTTTCGCGCCGAACGTTCTCAGATTGGATCCTTGAACACCGCCAAATTGGTGCCAATTTTTCATCAAAAATCATGTTCAGCGACGAAGCGCATTTCACTTTGAATGGGACGGTAAACAAGCAAAACTGCCGCATCTGGGCGAACGAAAATCCCCGTGAGTATCAAGAGCAGCCGATGCATCCTCAAAAAGTGACTGTGTGGTGTGCATTGTGGTCAAAAGGCATCATCGGACCTTACTTTTTCGAAAATGCGGCCGGGGACGCCATTACCGTCAATTCTGAGCGATATCACGTGATGATAGAGGACTATTTTTTGCCGCAACTTGAAGGAATGGATATGGACGATGTTTATTTCCAACAAAACGGTGCAACATGCCACACAACCAACGTCAACATCCATCGATTGCAGTCCTTCTTCGGTGATCGCGTGATTTCGCGCAGAGGAAATGTGCCATGGCCACCAAGATCGTGCGATTTGACTCCCTTGGACTTCTTTTTATGGGGATATTTGAAAAGCAAAGTTTACCTCAACAAACCAGCCACCCTCCAAGAACTCAAAAACAACATCATTGCCGAGATAAATGCCATAGAACCGACCATGTTGCAAAATGTCATTGAAAATTTCGACCATCGCGTGGACGTCTGTAAATCCAGTCGTGGTGAACATTTGAGCGATATTATTTTTCATACATAAATGAACCTTCAAAATAAAGTACCCAACTTGATTTGAATATCAATCTTTCTTGTTTAATATGCGTTTACTTTCCTGCGTCCGTTTTGGACAACGCTTGATTTTGTTATTCTTGTTCTTCCGACTGTGTTCGTATGACTGTACGAGGTATTGCACCGTTTTTCCACAAAACTGTTATAGTATTTTATGAGCAACGCATAGATCACCAAAAATCCCTAGCACATACATCAACGTGTCTTTTCCGATCTCAGGAACTGGCCACAAACTCTCCCGCAGCTTTGACATGAAGGACGAGCAGCAAATGCTGGAGGGTGGCGCTGACGGCAGTGAGGCGGACCCGGTGGCGGCCCAGGAGGAGGGATGAGGCGGCACCAGTCGATGCAGCGATTGGCTACGGGTCCAGGAGAAAGGGGGGAGGCGGGACGAGTGGTGCACGATGAAGAGGGCAACCTCAGGGTGACTGTGAAGAAGACGAAGCCCATATTGGGGATTGCTATCGAGGGAGGTGCCAACACTAAGCATCCCTTGCCTAGGATCATCAACATCAACGTAAGTTTATTCATTATTTACACCATCAACCAATTCACTGGACAACAAATTTTAGTTTTTTAATTGTATCTTGTGGGAAAAAGTACACTTCTTTGTTAATTTTGGGGCGCTGAATCCAAAAATGACAATGAAATAAAAAATTAGTTGCGGTTTAGAAAAAAAAACTTTTATTTTTAAGGATATATTAAAAAAGTAACAAGATCCATATACTTATAAGAATCACTATATGCGCTGTCTTTTTGCTGTTCTTTTATGGAACGTTTCTGGAGCATCTCTACCAAGAGTCCAACAGTAGTCTGCAAGCATGGAAGGATTCCACTTTCCCTGGTACCTTTTTTCCATTGTTGAAATATCCTGATGAGAACGTTCGCCGTGCTCATCACTTACGGCTCCGCAATTGTCAAGAAAAAAGTCCAGGTGTGAGTGTAGGAAATGTATCTTAGGAGACATATTACAGCCCATCTTTTGATACGATGACAGCATATTTTTGACAAGGGTTTTATAGTTGTCAGCTTTTCTATTTCCCAAGAAATTAGTGACCACCAGACGGAAATCATTCCAAGCAGTTTTTTCAATACCTGTTAAAGTGTTTTCAAACTGTGTATCTTTCAAAATATTTCGAAACTGTGGCCCAACAAAAATACCTTCTTTAACCTTTGCCTCACTTAGTCTTGGAAATTTCTGACGCAGGTATTGAAAAGCTGACCCATCTCTATCTAATGCCTTGACAAAGTTTTTCATTAGGCCCAACTTGATATGAAGTGGTGGTAATAATTTTTTTTTCGAATCAACTTATGGCATATGCTGTACATTTTTTGACCTGGCTCTAGGAATTGACGAACAGGCCAGTTTGGTCTGGTGTCATGAAGTGCCTTTGCCCGACTGTCCCATTCACACAAAAAACAGCAAACTTTGTGTAGCCTAGCTGCAGCCCAAGTAAAAGTGCAACAACTTTCAAATCGCCACAAATATGCCATTGGTGCTCATCGTATTTTATGCATGTCAATAGGTACTTCATATTGTCATATGATTCTTTCATGTGAACTGCATACCCTACAGGAAGAGATGGTAAAATATTTCCAATATGCAATAACACTGCCTTTAAACTCAATGTTGAACTGTCTATAAACAATCTCCATTCTCTGGGTTATAGTTTATATTTAAAAGCCGCCAGTAAGCCGTTAATGTTACTGCAGAAAACCAAGTTATTCTCCATATTGAAAAATGGTTCTAAGTCTTTGTGGCGTTTACGAAAAACACATACCGAAACATCGTCTTCTAACAAGTTCCACTGCTGCAGTCTTGATCCAAGTAACTCTGCCTTACATTTTGGAAGTTCTAATCTCTTACAAGATCATTTAATTCTGACTGTGTTATTTTGGGCGGTTGGTGGCATGACGTGCTCGGTATAAAATGAGGATCTCTTGACGTTGATGGCATATCTTCTTCCTGACGAATCACTCGATGGCCATGATCTGATTCGTTTTCTGATTTGCAAGTGTAGGATTCTGGGGTTTTGGAATAGGATTTTCGTCACTGTGAGGCACAGGTCTCATCGCAGATGGTATGTTTGGGTAGTTAATAACCGATTTTTTTTTCTTGGACATACCTGTGGCTTGTCCAACACAAGGTACCATGCAAAAGTAACAATCATTAATATGATTTGTAGGCTCTCTCCTAACCATTGGGACAGCAAAGCGCATAGACCCATAGAAGCACATGTATTACAGCAGATGTGGGGTGCCCACTGTTTGTCTTGATCACCTAGTTTACAACCGAAATAAAGCTGTTATTAGTGGAGTAATAGACCGTCTCTGAGACGCAAAAGTCACATCACCTTACTCGTAACAAAACTGATCTGGATTGTTTACACACTTTCGAGACATCTTGCATGAACGCTGTCAGCCAACTGAGGAAAAAATGGCTAATATAAAACAATATAATGTACACGTATGTATAACGTAACACAATCATGCCGATTACATCATCTTTCCTTGCCGAATATAAAAATGTAGCACGTGCATTCTTGTGAATTACAGTATATTAACACTGTCACAGCAGGAACACATATAATTACCGTATCTCTAAAACTTGAACTAATATTGAAAAAATAAGTTTCATTCCGGTTTAGCACATTAAAAATAGTAATATTTTGTTCATTTTATTCAGGATATTTTTTGGCTGTTGATCAGTGATTGGTTATATCAAGAAACTAGACTCATAATAGAAGTCACATTTGTATCACATTGTTCACATAGAATATATGGAAGAATGCAGAAGTATGTTGGTCCTGGGAGTTGGTAAATAAGATGTTGAAATGTTTCTGATGAGACATCTCAGACTTCGACGACTTAGAATACATGGACAATCATATTGGTTGTGAATAACCTTGTATAGAAAGATTAACGAGTAATGCATTTCGCGTAATACCTATTTCTGGATAAATACCATCTATCCTGTAGGCCAGATATTTGAAAAACCTACGTCACATAGCAGGGATTCCACATAATTCTAGCGTATTCAAATTTTGACATCACAAATGCATTAAACAACATGAGTAAAGCATTTATGCCAGTGGTCGTCAACCCGTCAATCGCGAAGGCAATTTTGGTGGCTCACAACATATTTTAAAAACGTGTAAAAATCATAGAAGCTAGAAGTTGAAGATAAAAATGTCCCAGACAATTACACAAAAGAAAACGGGGAAATTATAAAACATTTTGTGCTTACAATACAAAATGAATTAGCTGGTATTGTTTCCACAGTAACGCCTATGATATGGGTTAGTGCTTGATGAGATTGTGTAGTTTTCAATCATCTTTACATGTTAAATATTGTTAAGAATATGAAGAGATAATTGACGATGATCTGTGTAAACCATTCTAAATAAACAATTTGTATTGCCTACATTTCCTACCTTTTGTATGTATTTATATACATTTATCTACTGTCCATAAAAGTCATATCTAACACCTGATAAGCGCTCTACTATAAATAAAGAAATCAACACGAACGGTATCTGCGACTTCGAAATGCATTTTAAACTAATATTGTCTTTGACTGCGTACCTTTCTGTCAATATACCGATAGTATCATCGCTGATCAACCCGCATAAGCCCGAAGAAAAAAACTACCTTGGAGGCGATGTTGGAGAACCACTCATTCTAACGCCTCTGCTAGAACAAAACAAGACTGACGAAGCTCGAAGACTTGCTGATGTAGCTTTATCCGAGGAAGTGAAAAGTTACTCTGGATACTTCACGGTTAACAAGCACTATAATTCGAATCTGTTCTTTTGGTTTTTTCCGTCTCGTGGCGACTACGAAAACGATCCGGTGCTACTATGGCTGCAAGGCGGACCTGGCAGTCCTTCGTTGTATGGACTGTTCATGGAACATGGACCATTCCAGTTAAACGAAAACGCTGAGCTGGAGTTGAGAAAGCACGCCTGGACGAACAATCACTCGGTGATCTACATTGACAATCCCGTAGGAGCGGGATTCAGCTTCACGCATCACAAAAATGGCTACGCGCGTAACCAAACTCAAATCGGCAACGAACTGTACACGGCCCTGCAGCAATTCTTCGTCCTGTTTCCAGAATTGAGGAAGAATGAGTTTTACGTCACTGGTGAATCGTACGCTGGGAAGTATGTACCGACTTTGGCTTACACGATCTATCGAAACAATCCGGGTGCTGAGGCGAAGATCAATTTGAAAGGAGTGGCAATTGGAAACGGATATATGGATCCTTTACACCAAAAGGGCTACGCGGAGTACCTGTATCAACTAGGCCTACTTGATAACAATACATCTCTGTATGTGAAGCGATACGAGGAAAAGGTTAGTTGCTAAAGTAAATCAACTCATCTGTTTAAGTAAGGTGCCTGAGGTGAATAAGGCCCACCTAACTTTAAAGCTAAAAAACTCAGGAATTATATCAAAAAAATTGAAAAAGCGTAGTTCAGTAGAAAGCTTTTTTATTTAAGGTAAGAATAAAAGATAAATAGTAACACAGAGATCAGCATGGAAATAAGTACAGTAATACCCCGGACTTACGCGATAGGTGGGTCCGAACGGTTGCCGTGTAAGTCGAATTCGCGTAAGTCGGGGTTCAATGTTGCATATAAATACATATAAAGTTTGTTTAATCGGGACCAGAGTTTAAAGAAAACAATAATTTAGAAGAAAAATGTTTAATAAAGTGTAGGATAATAAAAAAAATTACATTGTTATGAATAAAGTAAGCTAAACCGAAGTTATTTTGATGTCGAAGGCTTTATATATTCTAACAATGTTGCCTGACGAGTTAAATTTTTCTTCTTTTCACGTAAAATTTCCTCGTAGCATACCAGTAATTTTTTTATCCCTCGTTTTGTAGTAGACACGCGTTCTTCATTAGAATCAATTTTTTCTAAAATTTGTAACCCCTTTTCAATTGAATTGAGTCCTTCTGTTAAGTTTGCAATTGTCATTTGATTTACCGATTCAACTGGGTCTAGCGAATCAGTTTGTTCAATGTCTTGCTCATACTTACGCATTTCTATAACCTCGTCAATTGTTAGCTCTTGATTGTGTGAATCTAGCAATTCTTGAACGTCATCATTATCGACCTCTAAATTTAATTGCT